TAAGCAGTCCTTGTGTTGTGGGCACTGTTGGTCGGGCGTGTTCACTACCAAAATTTTTTGGTCTCAGAGACCCAGTCCATAATATCAGGAGTGACTGAGCGGTGGTCGACCTACATCTACGGCGTTTTCGCGTCGGTGTCGAAATAAAATAAGAAGAATCTTTTCGTTTCTCTTTATCTCCATCAGACGATTACAACCATTAGTTCATAATTATTACCAATTTGTCAGACTTTGAAATCAGATGAAAAAGTATGTCACTATGAGGGTGCAAGTATTAAGAGCAATGCAAAGTTTGGTACAATTATAGGTGAGTAGTTAGCTATGGTATGCTCACATGCCTGGCGGCGTTTAAGTGTGATGAAACCAAACGTATGCGAATTTATGCCAATTTTAGTAGTAGGTACCTTACATAAGGACCATGTGGGTTCTAATAATGAACATGAACGCTACTATGATTTGGCTTCGGTTGAAAATTCATTGCAGAAATCTTACCTCACGTGGATTTTTATATTTATCCTTTTTTGTGCCATTTATTTTCAGTTATCCTTTCAGACATTGTATTTGAGGTATTTCAGGCTGGTACTGTTTGATTATTGCGAAAAAAGCTTGATCAAACGACTCCTGTTTATTGACACCTAATAGTTCACCAGCTAATCCACCGATCTTGACTTAAAGGCTTAATTGTGGTCTGAAGACAAAACCTTGACAACAGGCGTGAGACAATCTTTCATCTGGATAGTCTTTGGGATTCGGGCACTGTCAGGCTGAGAAACAATTTCGTTAACCCATTTATTAGTTGGGGAATACCCGCAAAGTCCTGACCGCTTCCCCGGACTAAACATCCCTTATTTGCCACACGATTCTTTGTACTTTCAGGCGTTCTAAACAGGTGGTCTGTTTGGACAATCGACTGTCAAACGAAGTAGGATAATCACAGGGAATGCAGCCCATTAATCTTTCAAAAATTAATGTGTGCAACATTCCAGGCGGCAGAGAATAGAAAGAGGAGGAACATGGAACCCTGCTGGACAGTATTCTGTTCCAGCCGATGCTGGCTAAAAAACCATAACAGTCCACGCGATTTGTCGTGATTGAACAACTGCTGAGACTTAGTCAAACGCCACCACTGAAAAACATTAATCTTGTGGATTTTTTGGTGAAGGGCTTTGAGTCAGGACGCCCCAAGACGTGCGCATATGTTTGCTAAATGGAGCAGACGGGTTTTTGTTGGGCGACTTTACTATGACCCCCCTGTTAAACAGAGGGAGGGGATGCCACATGTGCCCGTGGCCGAATGCATAGTTTTTAACTGAAGGGAAGTGAGGTCAATATTTTTCGGGCACGCAAGGGACCAAAAGTTTGAATTCGTTCAAAAAGTAGTCAGGACACCATCTGCGTGAAACAGTTTGATTTAGTCATAGGCCGTGGGTTGACCGTATTTCTATGGAATGTGGCCTCAGCAACCAGCTCGAAACTTGAACTTTCAATAGATCGCTAAGCATGGATTGTAAAAAGACGGACACAGTGGTAGTCTTTTTTTTCTCCCAATATTTTGGACAAGGCTGCTTACTAACTTTTCTTTCAGAACGAGTCTGGAGATGCTGGGGTAGGCAGTGTAGTAATGATGCAATTTTCACTCTGCCCGAAATGCATAAACTCCCTCTCAGGCAGATCGGGAGTTAGGAATCTACACATCATTCCTCCTAACGTGAATACTGTTTACGTGATAGTAGAGGAGTCAGTAGACCGTACACTCTTGGGAACTTTTCAAGCTCCTGGTTCACACTGAGCCTACTCCAGTGGGCGACTTTTAATGTGGGTGCCTAAAGCAGTCGGGAAAATGGCTGAGAAGAGTCGAGATTCAGCGTCACCCCGCACTAAGTGCATTCTGTAATTATGGCAAGAGCTGAGGAAAAGATTGTCCGTTAAATTGAAAAAGTCCTTTCTCTATGCATATGGACAGGATGTTACGTAGAGTGAGCATCAGTTTGCAGCGTACTTCACATGATTATACTGGAGTTTTAGGGGCATGTTACGGTTAAGCTTCCTCTGGGGTTTATGCCAAGATATCCAAATGGTCCAGATAAACTGTCCACAAATATCTGTATACCGTGAGTCATGGAGAGTATCCGCTGAATCGAGCACACGGATCACAAGCATCAGCTTGGCAATAGCAGATAGGTAAGATCGGGGTCACACGAAAAAGTGTCTTTGTAGGCTTACTGTCACCATCAGAATTAAGTGTCCCAGTCGCAGTCCTCAATCATTCTGCTGATTGTGCTCGAGTAAGATCGCTACCACTTAGCGAACAATGGTGATTGTCGTGAGAATTGGACCATAATGCGGAGGACGGGCTAGACATCGAAGTAGCCCTCTCCCTACACCCGACTTGTCCCACTGGGCAGGTGAGAGGATTATCTAGGGTAAACACACCATCTATTGGCTATCATACGTGTGCCGATTACTTCACTTTCCAAAAGAACCCGACTCCAATTATTCGAACACCCACATCTGCATGAGCAACTTCGGAAGGAGGTTATTGTAGTAGGGCTCCCAATCAGGGGGATCGAATTCTCCCCAGACGGTAACCTTCTGAAGCAACAGAAGCTCTAAGTCTCGTTGCAACGCGTACAGCGAAACCTTGCCTGTCGATTTATCGGTCAGGCACGGTAGTATGTACCCTCACGCTAAAGTCTTGGGGGCCTGCCATCCCTGTAATGCAGAAAGTCTATATTCCTGTGTCCGAACGATTTTCATTGATAACGCCCGTTCATCGATGTTAGGTTTGCCATTATCCTTCTCCTTGGTAGTTTTTATACACAGGATCATTTTCGCTGTGCGCTCCTGTAGGTTTGCGGCAACAAAATTTAATCGCGATTACTAGTAATGCGAACGAAGGGAATAAAGACTCAATTGTTGCCAGTTTTTGGAACTTAGGGTGAACCCTAGTGCACGGCAGTTCCTTCGGCGCCCCCGATGGTGATGATGATGATGATGATGATGATGATGATGATGATGATGATGATGATGATGATGATGATGATGATGATGATGATGATGATGATGATGATGATGATGATGATGATGATGATGATGATGATGAATTCCTTCCTAAGGCAGACCTTTAAGGAAGGAAGTGCGGTACAGGGCAATTGTTGCCCACCTCCCTCTTGCGGTCCTCTAGGCGCGAGGTATAAGTCTGTCAAATAAAGTGAGAAGATGGATGCTGATTGGCTGACAGATAATGTTGCCCTGACTTTCACAAGCTAAAAATTGTTTATCCTTAAGCTAGGACAGACTAAAATTATTAAGCATAATCCTTGGTAGTTTATATGCCCCACCAGGGGATGAACAGTTTGGCGTCCTCCGTCCTACGAGATGAGCACATACATGTCGCGTATTTCGAGACCTTTGCAACTCCCTAAGGCATGCCCTCATGTCAGAGAATGTAGAAGTTCACAATTACAAAATGTAAAAAAGTAGCTTAAAATAAGGGTGTCTGCTTCAATCAGGGCCTCATTCGCTCCAACAGAAGGTAATTTCCTTCTCTATTACGAGCATGACTTTTTAAAATTTTATCCACCAACAGACAAAAGCCTCAGGAATGGTGCCTTATTGTAGCGCAGAGGACTCCTGGGTGAATGAGTTGTCAGTACAGCTTACGTCTGCAAAAGGTAGCCCTCTTATAATTGCTAGTTGCAAATTGGTGGCGGATGCATGAGGTGTGCTTGTCCAAGCAGCCATTCAAATAACTGCCATACGGGCATATACGCTACTATGCTTACACACACACATGGGAGAAGTGCTCGGACTCACCTCTGCCACTACGCCCAAGAAAGCGTAGATCATTGAATCGGGCTTCTTGGTTCTGCATAATCGCCACGGCGTTTTTGAGTTCCGCGAATGGTCTCTCTTCGTTTCCGGCGGTGAGTACAACTCGGGTCCCATCGGGCACTGGGATCAAGCTCACAACTCGAAAGGGCGTTGGCAAGGACTTATTAGAGCGCCAATGTTTAGGCAGTGTAGAGCAGAGTATGTGGGGGCTGCCGGTCACCATGAGGTCTCCAGCGTGTTCATGCAGGGCTCTACGTAGGGTGTACTCAGCCAGAAGAATGTCGGACATCTGTTCGAACTTCGGCTTTCCTAAGTTGCCTTGTATGCGGCTAACTGTGGTCAGTTTGGTTTTATGGTAAAACTAGTGTCACGCCTCTGTGGCTTCTAAAGGGAGAGGGAGGGGGTCAGCAGGGGTAGTAAGGGGAGAGAGAGAACGCGCCAGAGGCCACAGAGTAGTGGAGACGGACCGCAATTGGACGCTGCGAGCCCGATTGAGAGGGAGAGGAAGTCTGAGGTCCCTGCATATGCGTGTGTGAGAGAGAGGACTAAGCGAACAATCGCATCCCAGGGTGCGTGCGAACGTACAAACGTGCGTATGTGTATGCGTGGGTATGGTTACAGTCAATAGGAGGGGAGAGAGAACTGTGGTCGGGGGTGGGGGGTGGGGGAGAGGAGTGGGTAGAGCGGTCGCCGCGGTGGCTTCCTGGTGGGTGGCGGGTGGATGCGTGCAGCTGTGGCGTTGCTGGCTGGTAGCCCACCGCACTCTCACCGATACGCCAACCACTTTCGTGTGCCACAAGAAACTGGCCAATTAAAGCGAGTTTAACGGCCACCAGCCAATCCAACTAACGGTTCTGCATACACACTTGCGCGCCCACGGATGACATGTACACCAGACCGTTTATCATGTGCGTGTGTGCAGTCGAAAGAGAGGAGCTAATTTTCTAAGAAGTAACCCCTGTGGAGAGCGGGAACTTTATATGTCCGAAAATTCGGAATCACGCTGGAATTCGCTTCCAGGCACAAAAGCACGCAGACGATTCACTAGTTAGAAGATGCGCATTATATGTGTCTAGGCAGGCAAACATTGCTTGAGGCACGAACATGGCAAATAACGCTTGGCGACAGGTGACTAGGCCCGTGGACGCGCAATAGCCACATCATGCATGATCTCTGTGCGTCTCTGTTTCTGTCTGTCTCTGTCTCTACCGAGTGGATTGATAATGAATCGGAAACGTAAGGCTAATAAAGCTCATCCTCCGGCTGTCAAGTCTTCTTCGTATCAACTGCTACCTGGAACCAGTCTATGTGCTTGCAGGGTGAAGGCGGAGTCTCCGGCGTCAGATTCGGGGAGGGATCAAACGGTTACAGAGTTATCTTATTTGTACTACTACTACTACTACTACTACTACTACTACTACTACTACTACTACTACTACTACTACTACTACTACTACTACTACTACTACTACTACTACTACTACTACTACTACTACTACTAATAATACTACTACTAATACTACTACTACTTCTACTACATTGGAAAGACACGTCTTAAGAAGGAGACACGATCGCTGGGACAAGAGCTTTATTAGCCTGACGTTTCGGATACCTGCTCGAACCCATCATCAGAGACAAAAGCAGATACGGGTGGTTCATGCGCAAAGGGCTTCAGTGTTTATAGAATACAGTCCTCATGCTACCGCATACCTATGAATATTCACGGCTTCCTCCCCTTCATCAGGGTTCGTTGCCCGTGGCGTGATGGCCGATATTCGCGTCGTTAATTACTGCAATTTCATCACTTGCGTTGGATGTTGGTGTGATAATCGCTCAACCATCTGACCCACCGACCCTGGCGTTGGCAAGAGTGTTCACCTGTGCGCTCCCCGCGTGGCTAACTACTCCGCCTAGGCGAAGTCTCAGCAGGGAGTATGGAAGGGGAAGGTCACTGCATTTGTTAATGGACTGGGGACCAGTAAACCATGACTCAAGCAGCTCGCGGCTCACGCGGTTGTCATCTCTTGCGAGAATTTCGGCCTCGTCAAATTTGAATTTATGGCCGGATCTCGTCGAATGAGCCGCAACTTGAAAGCTGGCGTCATTTCCCCACACCGCTGTAGCGTGCTCTGCCCTTCCTGTTCGGAGCAGCCTTCCGGTTTCTCCAACGTGTTTGCCTTGTCCGCAACTGCACCAGATCCGATAAACGCTTCTATTGGCAAAGACACGTCTACTATTCGAAGCAGTATAAACAAATATTACATGAGATGACTTTTTTATAAATCCCCTGGACGTCCTGCATATTCAATTGAAAAGACCTTAATCGTCAAAATGGGTAATAAGGGGAAAAACGAACTGGGCTTACTGGGTGATTAGCTCACGAGTGTTTTACAAAACTCTGTTTACTTTCTGTAGAAGTACCCAGCTCATTTGGTTTGTATGCCTTTTTTCGAAACTGCAAGCGTGCACTTCTAGGGGCTAGCTGGTTAGGTATCACCGTTCTCTATGAGACTTTGAATTCAGACCACAAACGTTTAAAATAAGTATGGTGATAATTTCATGCAGCTCTGTCTGATAAAAGCGAACTGATTGTTATTCCAGACAAAGGACAGCAAAATCAAAGATCCTTTTACACTGCCCTCGCATGCATTGAACTCCGACGAACTAACAAGGCATATGATTTTTTTAATTTTTTTTAAGCAAACCGTCTAATCGCATTTACTGAGCTAGTCTAATTCGGAACCCCAGATCCCTCACCCATGTACACAATATTTCCAATGTCGCAAACGATGATGTCCAGCATTGCTCCCACAAGGTGGTGGGTGCAGCAATGATTTGCACGGGAATTTCTTCACTGTGGAGTGGACTTGCGAGCATCTGCCTCACTTCTTCTCCGCACATCCACCGACTTCTGTTTGCAACGGAAAGTCATCGAGAAAGGAGGTGGGCGTGGGGGCAGTAGTTGACAAAGCTGAACTACTCATATAGCGTACCACGTACTAAATGGCCCCTACCTCCACACGTGCCAGGCTGCGTTCAGGAAAGGAGTCCCAGATCTCACACAGGTAAGGATGTCATATAGGGCACATTAAGTGAGAACCGACTTCTGAGTGGGATGCAGTTATCCTGTCCACCGACATCCCCACCTAGCCCCAAATGTCAGTGTCTCGTGGTAGTTTAAAGGCGCGTTTGACTGTCTATACATGGAGGAGGCTGAGTGGTGAATCCGAGATGTATCGACTTCGCTCCCTCTTCTTCCCTTTTGTATACACCATCGGCTTATCCGAGTCAAGCCGACTGGTTATGAAAGTAGGTGTCGCGCCTGGGGTGAGGTAAAGACCCCGACCCTGGCGTGCCGGACACAAATGTGCGATAACGGTTAAGGACTCCCATCGAGTCAGCACAGTCTAAAAAACTCATATTACGAACAAGTGTATCCACGTTTTGATTTAACGTAACAGCCGTCCAATCCGCATGGATAGCACGCCTATGATGTTACAATAGTTCAACCGTCGATTTTGACGATGTCTAAAGTGTGCTCCACGGCAGAGTGAGAGGAGGGACGGTGACTTACGCGTAATTTAGTTTATAGTGAAAGTGGACGTGCGTTGCATCTACCGCACTCTCTCCTCCATCTCCACCTAGGCCCGATGTCGTAACAAAGTCAGGAAGACCGGAGGTGGGACCGGAAAATCAGCCGGAAGGGACCACTTATTGTTCCCCACTGAAGTGCTTACATTCACCTTCTCGGACTTACAATATACCTTCTCACCGCTCCAACAAAGTTTAAGGCAAAATAGTCTAATTTAATATTCGAAAGTTTGCAGACCACATGAATCGAAAATCTAATTCAGTCGTGTGAACAGCCAGAAAGAAATCAGTAGGATAAGTTTGTGGCAGAAAAGGAGTCCACGTCCCTCCCACCTACTGAACGTTCTCACGATCAGCTCTGAAGACTGCATTTGTAAATGCGAACCCGTGGTCCACTGCTTCTGCTACTTGTTAATGGCATTGCGTGGTACGTGCAGATGTGTTTCTATCTGTCTACTTAGATCCGCTCTGGACTAAAAGGTTGGCAACACACTTGTCTCTGCTTGTTTTATGACAAATTACTTGTTTTTATTTACAAAGGGTAGTGGAGATCGCCAAATATAAATACTTTCATAGTTCTTTTATTTCTAAATTCTTATGTGAAGGAACGCTACTTGGCTGCCTGCCAGGAAAGTATGCAAACTAGAGGAAGCCTTCTCCATTTCTAACAAGGTAAATGTCCCCGGACTTTCCTCCGCCATGTCCTCCAACATGTAATCAAGGAGATTTGGTTTAGGAAGCAGTCTGATCATATGGACGGTTTTGCGAATGTATCGGTGGATTTCCTCTCCAGTTGCGTTCTTTCCCCTGTCCTTTGCCGAAATCGTAAGAAGCAGATAATGGACTCGCACCTTCTTGTTGCGCATTGGCTATATTCTCAGAATTAAGCAGTGAGAAGTGATTCTTGCCGTGACAGCAATGGCCATTCGTAGCTTATCAGCCTGTCTTCTAAGAACTCGTAAAATGAGAGTTTTACTGAGCACAGTACCGTCTTCATCCATTTTCGGTCAACGGACCTCTACCAACCATCGTTAGAAAACTTTTATCACCTGCTGCCCCCGGCGTTGGTTTTCGTCTTCTTCCTCGACCAGTTTATCTAACCTCCTTCATTCACCCGCGTTTGTAATCGTCATGACCATTGACATGAAACCGAAGATACTTTCGCCGGTGAATTCGCTGGTTGAGTCACTGACCTACGCCACCTAGCGCTACACCCCGTTTCAGTGGACCGCGACTTTCAGAATTGTTTAGTGTCATCGTCTTCACACCCGACTGACCGCATTCGCGTGGATGCTGACGATGGTAGCGGTGAGGAAACACCGGAAATGGGGTCTCCTCTTTGCAGTCCCCAACAGTCGCCCGACTCCTGGCCCCCCTTTTCCGTCTTAGCTGCGGATTCTTGCGGCCGGAAGTGGCTGAGGTATTCTGAGGCTGACGGCAACGACAACCAAGCCGCGGGAAGAAAGGAAATTTAGCGGTCGAGTTGACGGACTGGTCACACGCATAAACCGTAAACACTACACTTTGTTCGAGCATATGCCGGGATGGATTCCCTACTGGTTGGTGCGCTCGAACTGGTGGTGAGACTGCGGGAGATGCAGGAAAGCTTGAGGATGAGGAAGGCTGATACGTGGGGAAAACGGAAGCAATGCAGCAGTGGATTGTAGTGGCAGCGAACTGCCCGTGGGTTGATTGGGAACTGGTCGAGGCTGTTCAGTAAACAATCCAGTGGGTTAACTACGGAAGATCGTAGCCTCCTCCTTGCCACATGGTAACGAAAATAGAAGGGCGGAAGTGACTGGTATTAGTGGGCAGAGAAACTCAACTGATTCATCCTCTGCGAGGCAAACCAGATGAAGTTAGGATGAAATACACTCTTATTGGCTATCACACCCCTCCACCCCAGAAACCGTCTGGATTTTTCTTACTGAACTAGGGTTAATTATTCGGTTCAGGGTTTGAGTAAGATTTAGCGTTGGAGTAAGATTAGGCTATCTGTGCGCACCTTCAGAGTCGTGCTTTTGTTTATCAGTACTATTGGAGACCTCTGTTGACAATTTCTAGGGGTATGACAGAAAGTGTCTCTAGCCGGGATGCCTGTTCGGCGTTTCGTCCCTCTACCTCCACGCCCCCCCCCCTCCCCGTCCCCACAATAAGAATCACATGCGCATATCTGGCATTTTATTTCTGGGCTGATGTGCCGAAAAGACGCACATTGCAACAGGGACTGGGGGTCGAACCGGACCTTTAACACTTATAGACGCATTTGCCAGGAGAAACAATTAGCTGATAATAGATAATTCACATAATCAAATCTAGCTGAGATTGGTACAGAGGGTGCCGTAATGAGGGAATATACTTGTGCTATATTTTCGATGACGCCGTCATAAATAATTGGATTTTTCATATTGATCCAACTGTGAAAACCTCGGCGCCTCAGTGGGATTCGAACCCGCGACTGTAAGGTGAGGGCTTTAATACAGTCAACGCTCTAACCATCTGAGCTAAGAGGCCCTGCCGGACGAAGCGAGTTTAATCACATTTAGGTCAAGTTTACCCGCCCAACCTACTGGAACGTCTGGAATCTACCAAATCTGATACAGTAAGTTGACTGCTCAAACAGGATTTACCAAGTAACTTACCTAGAATCCACTAGATGTCTACCAGGCTCACGTAATTCATCGATGTTTTGGCAGACTTTGAATAATTCATATTGACCCAACTGTAAAAATCTCGGTGCCTCGGTGGGATTCAAACCCACGACAGTAAGGTGAGGGCTTTGGTACAGCCAGCGTTCTAGCCCACTGTCATGCGTTCGAATCCCACCGAGGGGCCGAGTTTTTACAGTTGGGTCAATATGAATTATTCAAAATCTGCCAAAACATCTATGACTTGAATTTTTATGACAGAA